AGGGGCCGCGGCACCTGGGGGCCCGGTTCCCCGCCGCTCGGGTCTCGCTGTTCAGGGAGTGAAGGGGGATGGTCCCGCACGCCCGGCTGTGAATGGCGAGGCTGCGTCGGGTCCCCGTGAGGAAAATAGCGGACATGGCTGGTTTCTCCGTGGAGTTAACAAAGCGCTTCCACGCTCTCTCCCTTGGTGCTCTGTCAGGTAGCAATGTCCTCATTTTACAAGCCGAATGACGTGACTCACCCAAAGCCTCAAACTAATCAATGGAAAAGCCGGAATTTGAAGCTGTGCTGCCTTCAAAATTCCGGAGGGCTTACCGTTGCATCACATTATCTCCCTAAGTCACTAATGGGAGACACACACGCCCCTATAGGTAAGATGCTGCAGGGGTAGCGGGGGCAGTTGAAGCTGCCATCCTTTCCTTCAGAGAGTAAGGAATAAAACAAAGATGAAACCCATAAAAGACACACCATGAGAGAAAAATACAGAGTACTGCGGAAGATGAAAGAACTGCTCACTGCCCGCCGGGTATCCGGGAAGAAAGGCAGCGTGGAGAAGGCTGTGAGATCCACGGGGAAGGAGATGAGGAGGGTTCTACAGCGAGAAGGGGTAGCTGGAGCACTTATGAAGGTGACTTAGTGAACGTGTTCAGGAAAAAGCAAACGGGAAGACTAGGGCATGTGGAGAAGTGGCAGAGACCAGGAGAATGGGGCCTGAGGTGGCAAGTAGATGAATTTGTATCGAATTCTGTATTTTTAGTCTTTGCGCTTTCAAAGTTTGGGGGAAGAAAAGTTCAGCTTTTCTTTGATCCGTGAATGTATACAAAAACTAGAGGCCCAGTGCACGGGTAGGGTTCCTAGGCCTGGCCTTCGATCAGGGCCCATTGAGGCCTTCCTTCGTTCCGCTTCCCCCTGGTGGTCAGCACACGTCCTGGTGAGCCATCGAACTCCTGGTCTCCTGGTCAAACTCCCGAGGGGACACTTTGCATATTAGCCTTTTATATAGATTAGAGGAGGGCCCCGCCAGTGTGGCTCGGTGGTTGAGCGTGGACCTGTGAACCAGGACCTCACAGCCAGGGCGTATGCCTGGGTCTCAGGCTCAGATCCCCAGTAGGGGGTGTAGGAGGCAACTGATCAATGATTCTCTTTAATCATTGATGTCTCTCTCTCTCTCTCTTCCCCCCCCCCTCTCTGAAATCAATAAAAATACATACATTTTTTTAAATTAGAGGTGGGAAAACTGCCAGGTAAATCTGCAGTAAGCCAGGTGAAAAGTAATGATGAGTCTGAACTAAAAGCTCAGGAGGAACTTAAAAGAGCATAGTTTAAAGATGACATGGAAGCAGAATCTACAGGATTTAGCAATTAAATGGATTTACAGCAAGAGGGGATGGCATGAAAACATATATGAAGAAGAAAGAAAAATCAAGATAGTGAAGAGGTTTTGACTTTGTAGATAATCATAGAAAAGAGATAGGAGTAAAAATTGCTTTATATATTATTATTTTTTAATTAAATCTTCATTGTTGAAAGTATTAACATATGTCCCCTCTTTTCCCCCATTGCCCTCTCCTACCCTCCCGCACTGCCAGCCCCAGGCCTTCACCACCCTTATTGTCTTGTCCAAAGAACTTGTGCTTACAAGTTCTTTGATCTCTTCCCACCCACTCAT